CCGCGGGCGGCGGGCGGCGGGTGGCGCGGGCTGTCAGTGTTCACTCCTGAGCCTCTAATGGAATCAGTTTGCAGTAGTAACAATAATAGTCACAACCACCATTCATTCTTTCATTCATTCGTGCCTTCTCCTTGCTTCTTGACCCTCTGTTGGAATACATTTGTCATGGTAACAACAATAACAGTCACAATCACCACTCATTCATGCCCTATTTTTTCTTGGGCCTTAGCTAACAATAAACCTGTTACAATAACAATAACAGAGCTACTCAGAGTGACAGGGCCAAGGTCACACCGCCAGTAAGTGGCAGAGGCAGGACTCAAACCTAGGTCAAGTCGACTCCACAGCCCTGCGCCCAGGTGTATATTCGACTCAAGTCCAGCTGTCCAGGTCAAGCCAGGCTCCTGCATCCAATGCTTCTCGAGTTTCTTGAGGCTGAAATCGCGTTATTTCTCCTGCACCTGCAGTCTGAAAGCCTGTCCCACCGGGTGTTTCAGCTCAGGAAGGACCAGGGGCTCCCTGGACTGGGTGTGCCTGGATTTCATTTTTCATTCAGGTGGGCTGTGGCCTTGGAGCTGGTCCATGCACTCTGAATGGTTTTATTGTAGCACCTGGGCTCCCTTGCCTCTTTCTTTTCTGTCAGGAGTAAATAGATCACCTTGCAACGTTCTCTAGGGGCACAACATTGTTCAGAAATTTTAGTTAAGGTCATCATCCTGAAGCTGAGTTTCTCGGTTTTCATCTTTTTCCAACCTGCATATATTTAAAAATTGTATTTTGACAGATTGTAAAGGTAGTCTATGCGGTTTGCATTGTTCTGTATGACCTACATACAATTAATCCAAGGGTTAATCTGAAAACATCTAAAGCATTTGGGTTTATTTCTGTTAATCCTTCATGGACCTGTAAGTAAATGAGAGTGGGGGTGGGAGAGGTGTGTGTGGCGTATAACCTCACAAACTCATTATGAGTTAACAGTTCTTTTTATTATGGTAGAATTTTGTATCTTTAGAGTGTTTGAAAGGAATTCTTTCTTGTGAAAGTGGATGGTTTCAGGAAAGCTTTTTAAATGCTACCAGCCTGTAAATTCTGTAGGTTACAGGAAAGAACCCCTTCATGAAAGGCAAGGCACCTCTTCATGAAAACAAAACAAAACAAATTGTTTTTAAAGAAAGAGATGGGCAGCCCTTGAAACCCCTCCCTGGCCCTATCCGAAATTGATAACAACTTAGTTGCCCTGTGTGGAGTTTCTGACTTGGGGACTGTGGTCATAAATATTGCCGGTGATGGGATCACTTGGAAAACCCAGGTATCTTAGCACAAGCCCTGGTTAGTTTAATGTAGGGTGTTTCTCACACGTGCAGCATTTTAGCAGTCACGGGCTGTGAACCTTAAGGTCAGCAGTTTGAAACTACCAGCTGCTCCGCGGGAGAAAGATGAGGCTTTCTGCTCCCGTAAAGATTTCCAGCCTTGGAAACCCTGTACAGGGTCGCTATGGGTCGGAACCGACTTGATGGCACTTAATAATAACAATAGCGTGAAATTAGAACTAGACAAGGAAGGACTTGTGAAGCCTTACTTTTCTCACAAGTGTCTCAGGTGAGTGTGTGATGAAGCAAGTTGGCGACACCTGTATTATGAAGTAAAGGTGGCCAGTGATATTTTTTTCTTTTTAAACAAAAAGGTATGATACTCACCTGTTTCCAAAGCTTTACAGCACTTTATCGTTTTCTTTAGTGTAGGGAAAGTGTCCCCAGTTTTAAATTGGACCTGATTTTGTGAACAGCCCTAAGATTCATTGCTACTAAAAGTTCTACACCAGGTCAATGATACTGGAAATTTTGCAGGAAGAGGAAAAAGCAACAAGTATGTGAGTTTTCTTCTTTACTCTGTAGATCTATGATAGAAACCTTGGTGGTATTGTAGATTGCGTGTTGGGCTGCTAACCACAAGGTCAGCAGTTCAAATCCGCCAGCTGCTCTATTGGAGATAAGACTTTTTACTCTCATAAAGGTTTATAAGTCTCAGAAACCTTGTACAGGGTTGCTATGAGGTACTATGTAGTAGAAAATGTTCTAATCTGATCCAGAGTTTCTTATATTTTGATAGTTTAGCCGTACTATTATCTGCTCTGTCTATTTAGGGCTGCTGTGCCTATGACTGCATAAGAAATAATTATTTACGATCTTGATAATGAGCTTAAAACCAGCTCGGTCCTCACCTAGGAAGATCAGTTCCTCATATGCATGGTATAGTGTAAGCATTTGGGCTGAAGGATTTGCAAACTGTTGGCTCTCTTGGGAAGTTCTCATTTCTGCTGGAAAGGAGGAAGGAGGAACACATGATCAGGAATACATAAATGATAGCACTAAGTACATGGTTCTTTTACTTCTCTTCTAATGGTTGGCTGGTTTAGTTGAACATCAAGGCATATATATGAAGCAAAACATCAAGAGTGTTATGATGATGCTGCGTAATTATACTAGAACAAGGAGGTCCTGGTGGCTAAAAGGTTAAGCTCTAAGTGAAAGGATGGTGACCCAACTCACCCAGTGGCTCCACAGTGGAAAGTCCTGGAGATCTGCTTCTGAAAAAAGATTGCTGTTGTTGTTAAGTGCCATCCAGAAAGTTCTGGCTCATAGTGGCCTTTTTTCTGAGGCTGTAAATCTTTGCAGGAGCAGAAAGTCTCATCTTTCTCCCGAGGAAAAGCTGCTGGATTTGAACCACTGACTTTGTGGTTCATAGTCCAGTGCTCATCCTACAGAGCCAAGACGCTCCCTCTGCCTAGAAAACCCTATGAGGAAGTTCTACTCTGTCACATGGGGTCACCATGATTTGAAAGCAACTCAACAGTGTACAACAACATACTAGAACAATTCTTATGTCCTAGCATCCTGGGCTGAGGCGGATCTCTGGAAATTTACAAGTCTTTTTTTCCTTGCTTGTCAGTTGCTCAGAGCTAATTTGGGGGCATTGTCTTAGAAGAAACTTCTCAGTGGAAAGCTTAAGTACTATTCATTGACCGTGGCTCCAAAAGTAATTTCTGATTCTGATTTAATAAGATATACAGTTCCGGTAGCGTAGTGGTTACGAATTGGGCTGCGAACCTTAAGGTCAGCGGTTCGAAACTACCAGTCGCTCCGCGGGAGAAAGATGAGGCTTTCTACTCC